ATATATATATATATATATATATATATATATATATATATATATATAAAGGTGTTTTAAACATTTCCCACACCCTTGCAATATTCTAAACAATGTTTCTAAACTCTAAAGATCTAAAAGAGAACAGAGTGTCATGATTTCAGCTCCCTGCCTCTACTGCTCTTTGCCACCTGCAAGCGCTCTTGGCCACGCCCACTTCTTCACTCTGCACGAGAACAGCTGATCAGCTGCAGCAGGAAGTTTATCCTGCAGTATGGGCTGTTATACCGGGATGTGTCTGGATCAAACTAATATTTAAAGAGGTATAAGACGGGATTTTCAAGGTCCTCTAATTCACCTTCACCTGCATTCAGAACAAAGTAGGTCAGAAGAAGCCTTTATATTTACCTCAGTGGAAACAATTCATATTGTTGCAGAAGCACAGAGAGAACAAAATCCACAAAAACATAAGTCTCTCACTGGAATCTGTATTTCTTGTTTCAACAAGCAGTTTCTGTTCTGGCTGCAGTTTGTCGTTAAAGTGCTTTGATGTGAAAGCCATGTGGAGGTCTGACTGTCAGCTTTCAGAGTGTTGAACACCTATCATACCTAGAATGAAGTTAGGAACTGGAGTTGCACTTACAGTAGCATGTTCCTTTCAGGGGGTTGCCTTGGTAGCGACTCTCCACTTCACACCTGAAGAAGGCAGGTAAAAAGTAGACGAACAGAAATGGGGCAAAAATAGAGGAAGAGCAAAAATAAATGAGTGACTTTTTTTCTTTCAACTAAAGCAACATCACAATAAAAGGAAATTGAATATGGCAAAGTGAACATGAAGGAAGTTACCAGACCTTTGCTATCAAAACAAAAATAGCTTCATTTTCATATAGCTGAGCTATTTGTAAAATGTTCAGGTTTTAATGGAGTTCTGAGAATTGCTGTGACAATAGAATGTGAGAAGATGAGCAGTAAAAAAACATACTGAAATCATCCCAAAAGAAGATTGTGTGTGACATTCCAAACTTTATAGGACTGAATGAGGCCTCGTTTTGTACTTAGATCCTCATACAGATCTGATGGTAGATATATGAGAAGCTGATGACAAAATGGCGACACACTGATTTCAGACTGTAAACACATGTTCTCCTAGTATACTTATTTATCTATGCTCATTAAATTAAAAATATTATTTAACATTAGAACTATAACAACAAAAATAGCTTTTACCTGTTCATAACTTTGTAGAGTTTCACTTCAATTTTTAACTCACTGAATGTGACAAAAGCATTCCATGTGGACCAGGCCAATAAAGAACACAATGACTCTCAGGAGGGAGGAAAGGGTGAGTGACTTGCATGTGAGTTCAGCTCACAAAAAACACAACTCTACAGTTTTAAAGCCTCCAAATGTGTTTGGAATAAGGGGAAAATTATGTTCAAGAATATTTCCTGTATGACAGAGAATCTACCGCAAAGTATGAATGGCAAAAAAAAAAAAATTGTTCAAGTTTAGACGAAAAGGCAAAAAAATGTGGGAGTACAATGAAAATGAGAAAGACAAAATATGAAACTCACAGGTGACATCTATCTCCTTTGATGCCCTTGGTGGTACAGAAGCACTTTCCATTGCTGGGATTGCACATACTGGCATGGCCATTGCATTTACAGGCTGAACAAAAACATAATAAAAACATATTTTTCATATTACAATTATTATAAACAACAAGAGTTGCAATTATATTGATTACTGTATGTGAACAACCCTTACAACCCTTAGGTCAACAGAAATAGTCACGAAAAAAGGTTTTCACATCATTTTCAATTCTAATATTTTACATTCCAAGAAGAATGACAAACATATGGTTTCTATCAGGTCTTTGAATTGGGTAAATACAACTTCATGACATGTAGAACTTTTTTTTGTAATTCAAGAAAAACCCATTACTATGTCCAAATAATGTGGTCAAAGAACTAATTACACTTAATGGCTTGAGTTATCATACCTTCTTTGACAGAAATTACCTGAAATAATAAAAAACGAAAGTTACGTCTGTAACTACGGTTCTTTGAAACCCGGATGACCGCCAGAGGCGGTGCTTAAAGCACTGGATGACGATCGCCAACAGAGTCCTAAGGAATCACACCCACAAGAAAAAACTAAATTTAAGTATGCCCACCTTACTGAGACGAAAAACTCTGTTGGTTGTTGTGTGATCAAAGTAAACACAAGCAAACATTATTAAGAACATTGATTAACCCTCCTTGGGCTGCTACATTACCGTGGTGGAGGGGTTTGAGTGTCCCAATGATCCTAGGAGCTATGCTGTCAGGGGCTTTACGCCACTAGTAGGGTAACCCATGGCAGACAGGTCCTAGGTGAGGGACCAGACAAAGTGCAGCCCAAAGACCCCGATGATGAGAAAAACAAATGGACTTAATGTTCCCTTGCCCGGACGTGGGTCACCGGGGCCCCACTCTGGAGCCAGGCCTGGAGGTGGGGCACGCGGGCGAGCGCCTGGTGGCCGGGCTTTTACCCATGGAGCTCGGCCGGGCACAGCCCGAAGAGGAGACGTGGGTCCCCCTTCCCATGGGCTCACCACCTGTGGGAGGGGCCAAAGGGGTCAGGTTCAATATGGGATGGGTGGTGGCCGAGGGCGGGGACCCTGGCGGTCTGATCCTCGGCTACAGAAGCTGGCTATTGGGAGGTGAAATGTCACCTCACTGGTGGGGAAGGAGCCTGAGCTGGTGTGTGAGGCTGAGAGGTTCCGGCTAGAAATAGTCAGACTCACCTCTATGCATGGCTCTGCCTCTGGAACCAGTTTCCTTGAGAGGGGCTGGACACTCTTCCACTATGGAGTTGCCCCTGGTGAGAGGTGCCGAACAGGAGTGGGCATACTTATTGCCCCCCAACTTGGTGCCTGTGTGTTGGGGTTCACCCCGGTGAATGAGAGGGTGGTCTCCCTCCGCCTATGTGTGGGGGGACGGGTTCTGACTGTCGTTTGTGCTTATGCACCAAACGGCAGTTCAGATTATCCACCCTTTTTGGGATCCTTGGAGGGGGTACTGGAAAGTGCACCTCCTGGGGACTCCCTTGTTCTGCTAGGGGACTTCAATGCTCATGTGCGGCATGACAGTGAGACCTGGAGGGATGTGGTTGGGAGGAACAGCCCCCCTGATCTGAACCAGAGTGGTGTTCTGTTGTTGGACTTCTGTGCTCGTCATGGATTGTCAATAATGAACACCTTGTTCAAGCATAAGGGTGTCCATATGTGCTCTTGGCACCAGGACACCCTAGGCCGCAGTTCGATGATCGACTTTGTCATCGTCTCATCTGATCTGCGGCCACATGTCATGGACACTCGGGTGAAGAGAGGGGCGGAGGGAGCTGTCCACTGATCACTACCTGGTGGTGAGTTGGCTCCGACGGTGGGGGAGGATGCCAGTCAGACCTGGCAGACCCAAACGTATTGTGAGGGTTTGCTGGGAACGTCTGGCAGTCACCTGTGAGACGGAGTTTTAACTCCCACATCTGGGAGAACTTTAAACATGTTCTGGGAGAGGTGGGGGACATTGAGTCTGAGTGGACCATGTTTCGTGCCTCTATTGTCGAGGTGGCATACCGGAGCTGCGGCCGCAAGGTTGTCGGTGCCCGTTGCGGAGGCAATCCTCGAACCTGATGGTGGACACCGTCGGTGAGGGATGCTGTCAGGCTGAAGGAGGAGTCCTATCGGGCCTTTTTGGCCTGTGGGACCCCGGAAGCAGCTGATGGGTGCTGGCAGTCGAAGCGACATGCAGCTCTGGTTGTTGATGAGGCAAAAACTCGGGCATGGGAGGAGTTCGGAGAGGCCATGGAGAATGACTTCCGCACGGCTTCGAGGCGATTTTGGTCCACCATCCGGCGTCTCGGGGGGGAAAGCGGTACGCCACCAACACTGTTTATAGTGGGAGTGGTGTGTTGCTGACCTCAACTCAGGATGTTGTGGGTTGGTGGGCTGAATACTTTGAAGACCTCCTCAATCCCACCGGCACGTCTTCCATTGAGGAAGCGGAGCCTGGGGACTCTCGGTCGGGCCCTCCAATCTCTGGTGCTGAGGTCACCTAGGTAGTTAAAAAGCTCCTCGGTGGCAGGGCCCCAGGGGTGGATGAGATTCGCCCGGAGTTCCTTAAGGCTCTGGATGTTGTAGGGTTGTGTTGGCTTACGCGACTCTGCAATATTGCGTGGACATCGGGGGAAGTTCCCCTGGATTGGCAGACCGGGGTGGTGGTCCCCCTATTCAAAAAGGGGGACTGTAGAGTGTGTTCCAACTACAGGGAGGGTCCGTCGGATAGTCGAAACTCAGATTTAGGAGGAGCAGTGCGGTTTTCGTCCTGGCCGTGGAACACTGGACCAGCTCTACACTCTCAGCAAGGTCCTGGAGGGTGCGTGGGAGTTTGCCCAACTGGTCTACATGTGCTTTGTGGACTTGGAGAAGGCATTCGACCACGTCCCTCGGGGAACCCTGTGGGGGGTACTCTGGGAGTATGGGGTACCGAGCCCTTTGATACGGGCTGTTAGGTCCCTGTATGACCGGTGTCAGAACCTGGTCCGCATCGCCGGCAGTAAGTCGGGCTTGTTCCCTGTGAGAGTTGGACTCCGCCAATGTTGCCCTGTCACCGATTCTGTTCATAACTTTTATGGACAGAATTTCTAGGCGCAGCCAAGGTGTTGAGGGGATCCGTTTTGGTGGCCTTAGGATTGCGTCTCTGCTTTTTGCAGATGATGTGGTCTTATTGGCTTCATCAGATCGTGATCTACAGCTTTCGCTGGAGCGGTTCGCAGCCGAATGCGACGCGACCGGTATGAAGATCAGTTCCTCCAAATCCGAGGCCATGGTCTTGAGCCGGAAAAGGGTAGAGTGCCCTCTCCGGGTCAGGGAGGAGGTCCTGCCCCAAGTGGAGGAGTTCAAGTATCTTGGGGTCTTGTTCACGAATCCGGGAAAAATGGAGCGTGAGATCAATAGGCGGATAGATGCAGCATCTGCAGTGAAGCAGGCGCTGTACAGGTCTGTCGTGATGAAGTGAGAGGTGGGTCAAAAGGCGAAGCTCTCAGTTACCGATCGATCTACGTTCCTACCCTCATCTATGATCACGAGCTTTGGGTTGTGACCGAAAGAATGAGATCTCGGATACAAGCGGCCAAAAATAGTTTTCTCCGCAGGGTGTCTGTGCTCTCCCTTAGAGATAGGGTGAGAAGCTTAATCATCCGGGAGGGACTCAGAGTAGAGCCGCTGCTTCTCCACATCGAGAGGAGCCATTTGAGGTGGCTTAGGCATCTGTTTAGGATGCCTCCCTGGTGAGGTGTTCCGGACATGTCCCACCGGAAGGAGGCCCAGAGGAAGACCCAGGACACGCTGGAGGGACTATGTTTCTCGGCTGGCCTGGGAACGCCTCGGGATTCCCCTGGAAGAGCTGGCCCAAGTGGCTGGGGAGAGGGAAGTCTGGGCCTCCCTACTTAGGCTGCTACCCCCATGACCCGACCCCGGATAAGCAGAAGAAAATGGATGGATGGATGGATGGATTAATGGATTTACCTACAGTAAATCAGCTACTGATTATCTCGGAGTAAAGTTCAACATTGTCGACTCGGTTCTGGTCTACTCAGCGACCGGTGTGGAGCTGTTAGACGAAGCGGTCCCGCTTGGCGTCAAATCTGTTGACTCTTATCCAAAATCCAGCTTTAACTTGTTAAGTTGTTGTTAGCTGAGCTTTTAGCCAACAGGAAAGGAGCTTTCCGAGGTAGCACGCATGCGCATTACATGGATGTACAAAATTCACAGCGCCATCTAATGACACGGCATGGTAACTACAGCGGATTCAGTGTGGCGAGGGGCAATTCCTCCGGATACATGTAAACACACAATCCAACCGTGTCAACGTGGATCTTTTCCTCTAACATACGAAAAAAAAAACATTTCCCCCCATTGTGTCTGTGTAAATAGGGCCTTAGACAAGCATAAAAAGGCTTACGTCCGCCAAGGGCTCAAACGGAGCAGACTGCAGGGCAGCAAGGACCAGAGAGAGGTCCCACACAGGCACGACACGACGAGGCGTGTGTGTGTGTGTGGGGGGGAGGGAGGCAGACGTTAGGTGCCTCTCAGAAACAAGGACATATTCTTCTTACGACCTACTGTCTCCCTACCCACCACCGTATGCCAGCAAGAGATGGCAGCAACATAAACTTTCAGGGAGGATGGAGACTGGCCCTGAGAAAGTAGTGCCTGAAGGACAGTAAGAATACCAGAAAGAGGACAGTGTACAGGGTAGGGGTTGAACGAGTATATAATTTTTAAACTCGACATTAACATAATAAAACCCGAGTAAAACTCGAGTATTTGATGACGTCATAGATCTCAAGATACAAAAATAAATAAATAAATAAAACCGCAAAAAACGGTAATTATTTACAAAAAAAAAAAAAAAAGACCAACAAAACATTGGGAGCGTATATTATGCTCCTACCATTTATCATACTGCAAATAAGTCACAGGAAAAACTAAACCATTAGTTATTATTATTATTAAACTGCAAACGTGAAGAAACGCAGCACGTCAAAAACGAAACTTAAACCGAAACTGGTTCTGGTGGATTGGACCCGGTGTTACACCAAACTCTGTGACCTGCAACAGTGCAACACCGCCCCCTACGGTCATACGGTGGTCACATAATATGACGTCACTACGGATACCCGACTTTACATTTTTAACATCGATAGATGTCCTAGCAATCGATGTGTAGATTACTCGAGTACTCTGTTAATGCCCTAGTACAGGGTCCTCGTGTCTGGCATGACACCAGTTGCTGAAAACCTTCCACTTATGTGTGTACACCAGTCGTTTGGAAAGGGCCCTGGCATTATTCATTGTATGTGTGACCTCCGCATCATACTCTGAGAAGGTAATGCCGGGCCCTGTAGCAGCCAAGCCCAGAGGCGACTGGGATCGGGGTGCAGGATCTGACCCCCCAACTGTGACAGGTGGTCCTTCCTGTGGGGTAGAGGCATTGGAGAGTTGCAACAGAGCCTGTGCAGCAGTGGAAACCAAGTCCTCCCAGGCCAGAGGGGAGCCACTAGGAGGACTTGATGCCCCTTTTGAAGGACTGTCAGGAGTGTTGGGCCTTTCAGGGGAAGCGACGGAAAAGCATTCAGCAGCACCCTGGGCCAGTCGTGTGCCAGTGCGTCCTGACCCAGGGGACTAGCACTGCCTGCCAGAGAGAACCAAAGCGGGCAGTGTGTCGTCTCTTGAGATACAAACAGGTCCACAGCTGCCTTGCCGTACCTCTCTCAAATTACGCTCACAACCTCCGGATGGAGCCTCCACTCCCCAGGTGGTGGGCATCCCCGAGACAAAAAATCGGCCAGCCCATTCTGCACTCCTGGAATGTGGGCTGCCCTCAGGCTGGCAAAGAGGGGGGCTGCCAAAAGTAAGAGCTTCTGGTTCAGCAGCAGCAATGTCAGTGACCGTGTTCCCCATTGATGGTTGACATGAAAAACCACAGAAGTATTGTTAGACTGCACTAGGACATGCTTCCTGCGCAGGCCCGGTAGGAAGCATTTCAGTGCCAGCTGCACAGTGTCCAGCTCAAAGGCATTGATGTACCTCGCCTTTTGTTGTAGAGACCACGTTCCTTGGGCAATCTGTCACTGCCAGGATGCTCCCAACCTGTGGTGGATGAATCGATACAAACAACCTCCCTCCGAGACGGCAGAGAGCCCAGTGGGACCCCCTTCACCATAAATACTGCATTTCGCCACTGAGCCAGTGACACGAGGCATTGAGTGGACACCAGTGACACGAGGCATTGAGTGGACACCAGTGACACGAGGCATTGAGGGGACACCAGCAACCTCCTGCGTCGGTGCACTGCACGAGTCGGATCCAGCCGCAGGCTGTTGAGCCACATCTGTAGAGGGTGCAGATACAACAGCCCCAGAGGTACCACCATGGAGGCAGCAGTCAGCTTGCCCAACAGGCAAAGGTATGCAATGAAGGGGGGTGCACAGCCGGGCAGGAAGGTGGGCAGCTTCTGCAGAATCCCGCCGACACGCTGTGGTGACGGGCAAGCCACCATGGTGAGGGAGTTTATCGTAGTTCCCAGGAACATGACCTCCTGAGAGGGAATTAGGTTGCTCTTCTGCCAGTTCACACAAAGACCCAATAGTTCTATGTGATCGAGCACCATCTGTGTGTCTGAAGCTACCTGAGCTTATGCTGGCGCACAGATCAGCCAATCGTACAAGTAGGGCAGGATCTTCAACCTCTTGACCTGCAGAGGATACAGGGCTGCTGTCACACACCGGGTGAACACATGGGGAGACAGAGAAAGACCGAATGGAAGAACTCTGAATTGAAAATGCTTGCCCTGAAATGCAAAGCAGAGAAACTGCTAAAAGTGCTGCGCAATCGATACATGAAAGTATGCATCCTTCAAGTCGACCAAGGGGAACCAGTCACCTGGAGAGACTGCCTGGAGTGCATCTCTGATGCTAAACATGTGGAAAGGAATAGTTTTTAAAAATGCATTCAGACCTCTCAGGTCCAAAATTGGCCATAGTCCACCAGTCTTTTTTGGGACTAAAAAATAATTTGAGTAAAAGCCCCCCTGGATCCCGCAGGGGTCACCAGGACTATAGCAGCCTTGGCCAACAAGGCGTCTTTTTCATGGTTCAGTGCCTGAGCTTTCACCTAGTCACGAATGACCGTCATTCTGACTAACCAGGAATGGAAGAGCAGAACTGTAGCATGTAGTCCCAAGAGGACGGGAGGGATGCCGGGAGAGCTGCCCGTGTTGAAGAGAGACGGGAGCCCGACCTCTGTGCAGAGCCCATTGGCTATGAGCAGGCCCTGCAGCAGGTCACAGCTGCCCCACAGAGGGTGTAGGTGAGGCTAGATAAGTGCGTAAGGAGGACGCAGAGGCATCTTTAGCAGGATGCTGAGAGCATCTGCAATGAAGGCCAGACAATTGCTGTCTGGTACGGGTGGCCTGGGCTGAACATTCCAAGGCCGTAAGTGCAGCAGAACCAAACAGCTCCCACCACAGGAAGACTCATCAGGGTCCTTCTACAGGGTTCAGTCAGGGGAGACTGCGCCAGCCAAACCTGGCGACGTGCCTGGACGAGGGTAGATAACACACGGCCAATCTCCCTTGAAAAAAGAACAAAGGCATGAAGGTAAGCGTCCATCAGGCCTTGAGTAGGCACATAGACCGCTAAGCCCTCCAAGGAGGTCGAGAGACCCAGTAACAAATGTGACAGCGAGTTACCCAGTCGCCCCAATCGAGACCCCGAGTCATAAGCTCTACAGAGCAAGTCATCTGTGACCCGGAACTGAGAACGGGGCACCTGGCATTAGCCCTCAAAGCCTCATCCGAAGCCACAATGAGGGATGCGATGGCAGGTTCGACAGAAGGCATATGGCCCAAACCAAACTTGGACGCACCCTGCATGGCCGCCAGGGCCCTGCCATCTGCGGTTGGTAGTGAGAAAGCCTTAGTATTCATCCAGCAGGCATGTATCTCCTTTATGTATTTAGCCGAAGGGGGGACCATAAAGGACAAAATAGCAAAAAGACGTTTAAAAAGGTGCTGGAAGCAGCGGGTTGGCTCTGTGGAACATCCAGGTGCAAACGAGCAAGACCAGTTCTCAAAGCACCCACTATGGAACCGTCCTCCTCTGGCTGAGAGCAGGGAGAGGTGTGCGAGCTGTCAGTCGACACACACGAGCCAGACTCAAAATGCTCTTGAAAATCAGTTCCGGATGCTGCCAGGGAGATAGCCTCCTCTTCAAAAGCAGAGGCCCCTGAGCCTATGTTTTGTCCCAGGTCACGGTCCCCAATCAGACCAGCGTTGCCCCATTCCCTCAGGGACTCAAGCAGCGCCTTCATCTATTCCAGCTAAGAGGTGAGATGGGCCACCTGCCCAGATAGTCCCTCTGAGCCCCTGGAGCTTTTCTTGGTCCTCTTTCATGGAGGCCCCAAGGCCTCTGGGGCCACACGCTTTACAGGCTGCCTCGCAATCTCAGAACCAGCCAAACGAGCTGCACGCATGGACAAGGGCAGAACGGAACAGTTGGGGTAGGCCGCTTCCGTCAAGGCCTCCCTCAGATGATCTAACCCCAAACAAGGGGGGCACAGATCATGTCCATCCTCCAACGGAAAGGGGCCAAACAGGCTCTGCAGCACTGCACGTACAGCATCTTGCAGCTCACAGGACAAGAAGCGTCAGGTCGAGCAGGAAACACCACTCTTGACGCTGGAGTTGATGAGCAAATGGACCAGGGAACCTGATCGAGCAGAAAACGCCACCAGGGGTTCCCCAACTGCTAGCTTATAAAAGCAGCCAGAAATGCTACGACTGCCGTAAAGCCACAGGTGAATTGAACAAATAATTCTAAAGAAACTAATAGAATAGAATAGAATAGAATTCAACTTTATTGTCATTGCACATGTCACAGGTACAACGCAACGAAATGCAGTTTGCATCTATCCAGAAGTGCTTAGCAAAAAAAAAAAAAAAAAAAAAGATTGGTAGATATATATAGTACAATATACAGTAAGTTGCTTTGAATATGCTATAGGTATAAATATATACAGGTTGGGAGTGTACAGACTATGGACGAGTAGAGGAAGGGACTCATCACACTAACAGGTTATAATATGAAGGGGTATAAAACTATATTAAAAAAAAAATATATATATATATATATATATATATATATATATATATAAGTATGCGAGTACTTATGAACAGTAGATTTTAGATTATGTGTACAGTTTGTTCAGTAGTGGGCTAACGGATGAAAGTGCAGGTGGTGGCGTTACAGTCCTTGTGTTGTTGTGTGTATGAGAATACAGACCGTTGTTCAGATATCAGGGGGCAGAGTTCAGGAGTGTGACAGCTGTGTTGAAGGTGACTCACCTAGATTTGTTAACGACCTCCATCTGTGAGTCACACCCTTATCTCACCCCATGACTCGCCCAACCTAGCAGCCAGGGTTGGATCGGCATCCACAGGGAAACTCACATTCCCGGCCGCCCATCTCCGTTGTACAATGGCTATCCTAACTGATCTGGTTCTTTTTAGAATCTAGGAATAAGATTCCAGGATGTTGTTTAAATATTCAAAGCTGAGAAAACCTTTACAAACCTCCGTCTTTATTTATAATATTGAACCAAGCTTCTTATATCCATGAACACGAAGTGGTGAAATGATAGTCCAGAATTTTATGTTTTATGCTTTGCTTTATTTATGGGGGAGTGGTGGTACAGAGGTTAGAGAAGGTGGGCCTGTGATCGGAAGATCGCCGGTTCAAGCCCCGGTACCGACAACATCAAAAATGAGGGTGGGGTAGGTGAAGCACCCACACCTGCCCCTACCCTCATTCGTCCCACTCTGGGTCCATGAGCAAGGCCCTTAACCCACACCATATGCTCCTCCGAGTGTCCTAGATAGCAGCTCTCTGCTCCACACAGAGGGCTGTGGTGGGGCTGTAGTTCGGTGGTTTGTGGTTGCATCAGGAAGGGCATCCAGCGAAAAAATAACTGCCAAGTCTTTGTGCGACTTAGTTCGCTGTGGCGACCCCTAGCACACGTAGTAGCCAAAAGAAGAAGAAAGAAGATGCTTTGCTTTAATTAATGATTTGCAGGGGAACAGCGTTATAGCAGAAATCCATAGTGATTATTCGATTACACAGCAAAGTCAGTAGGCAAAAGTCCACTTGTTACTTGAAAGGCGTTACTGTTGATTGCTGGTTGATGTCCAAGAGGCAAAACAGTCCAATTGTGTTGTAATTACTTTGCTCCAATGAGCTGAACCAAAGAATCATAAATCCGTAAAGCTTCAATGAGCAAAAACTGAAAATTATAAATCCAACGACGAACACACAACCACAGCCGACCTCCCGCCAGAACCCGGCAGCCACCCCAGTCAAAGGGCCGGCCATCGGAACCAGGAACCCCAATCAAGGGGTCCAAACAATCCAGGGAGAACCGGAGCACCAGCCCCACCCCCAATCGCCCCCAAAGGCTCAATACCCACCCACAGCCCAGACCCCAACCAGGCAGCCTACCCCCCCCCCCCCCACACAGCACCATGAATGTCACAGCAGGCCGACCAGCCATCACTCCGTCAAAGTGAAGCCACCCCCCCCCGCCCCCAAATGTCAGACGGAGAATGAGGGTTTAAGGAAAACTGGAAGACCCAACTCCTCTCTCCCCCCACTCAAATAAGATGTTGATGCATGTTGTTATATAGTTGTTGGTAGTGCATGGCGGCGGCCGGGGGCGTGGCTTCACTTTGACGGAGTGATGGCTGGTCGGCCTGCTGTGACATTCATGGTGCTGTGTGTGGGGGGGTGGGTGCATGGGTGGCATGCAGGGGCTTCTCCGGGCCTATGGTGTGGGGCTTTAGGGATGCATTGGTGCGCTGGGCCGGCCTTCCTCTGCTGCTGCTCCCTGCTGCGCTGGCCCCTGACCTGGGGACGGCTTGCGGTCACTGTCGGGCAGGTGGGGTGCATGGACGGCCCGACAGAGGCTCTGTTGGGCTGTCTCTGTGTACCTGTTTGTCTCAGGTTGGATTTTGGGTGGGGCTGGGTGGTGGGGTGTGTGCGGGCCCGCCTTGGTGGCTACCTGCGGGGGCCTGGGGGCCCTGGCTCTGTCGGGCCTCTGTTGGGGGGTGGTATGACCTCGGGACTCCTGGGGGGTTTCTGCATTATGGTTGCTGGGGATCGCCCGGGGCTTCCCTTTGCTTCTCTCTCTGGCGGGTGCGGGTGTCCCTGTTGGGGGACTACCGGTGTTCCAGGCTTGGGGGCCGTTGTGTGTCTGTGGTTCCAGTCTTCCCTATGTTACCTTCGTGTCCTGTGGGGACGGGTTTATGGGTCCCCACATCCACTATTGAACATTTTTATGGAGAAACATTATAGTGATAAGCATGCTCACACAGGTGTTTAGATCCAGGTGTTTATCAGATACACACTCAGTTGGGTTGTGGTGGCCATCAAATATATATTGTATTACCATGTACTGTATAAAATACTTTCTAATGATGTTATAAGTATCATTATATAAGTTGTTTGTTGTTGTGGTTTCTCGGTTTTGTCGGTTTTTTTTTCTTTCCGCAGGTCTAGAGGCAGACTTCAA